GTGCCCCAAGCACTGATTTTATAACTAGAACAACCTAGTTTCTACTGATGCCCTCTAGATATATTAGGCTATAGACTCATAAACAGCACAATTGGTTGTGCTGGCTAATGATGATGGGGGCTGCAATATGGCATGCTGGGGGAAGCGACACCTTGTAAATTTAATGTCTATCTTTGCTAATATTAGGAGTACTATTTCCCCAATTTTTCTTCTCTATTATGTGCTTTAAAAAGCATCTATGGACTTTAGACTGGTCTGGAGAGAAAATGTTTTGCCCTTACAGTCTAAGAAAATAAATTTACAAAGCATCACAATCTACCCGGAGACTAATTTGAATATGGAAATAAATAAGCAATCAAATGTATAGTTAAATATATAGTTAATATAGTAATTAAAATTTACTTTCACATTGCTAAGGAAGATAATTTTATCTGTATTTCAATCTGGAATGAGAAATGGCCACTAGAGGGAGATGATCTTCCAGGTTTTTGGAGTCTTGTGTGTGTGTGTGTGTGCGTGTGCGTGTGCATGTTTAAAGATGGTTGGGAAGCAGGCACTTAAAAAAGATTTATAGGTGTGTTATGGCATCTTAAAGACTTACAGTTGTATTATGGCCTAAATATCCATGAACATCAGCACAGTTCATCAGTTACATAAGCTCTTTTCCTGAATAACAAGATGGTAGGAGAATGGATTGTACACACCATGATCACAATTTTTGCATTAGTGTTGGATGAAGGTTGGACATTTTCAACACAATTGGATGTATGCCTACTGAAAGATATGGCCCAGTGTATTCAATGGGATGTATTGCATACCTTACAAAATTTCACAAGTGAAATCAAGCAACATCAAAGTGTGACCAAAAAGACAAAGGGTATTAAAAAGGAAAAGAAGACAAACCGAGAGAGGCTGCAGCAGTTGCTTTAGCCTGAGTCTACTGGGAAGGGCAAGATTTTACTCCCACTCCCTGGGAGGAAGGCTCATGGCTGAGCATAGGGTGGCATCTGGGCCCCATGTCTGCTCCAAGACTTTCCCATCTCGCCACCCCGGGGAGAGGGGAATACTTGGCATGAGTTAATATAAATTCTGCTGCATTTCCTGTTTTTCAGCTAACAATTTTAGATTTAATCACTCTGCTGGTTTTGTACATTAAACATTAAATGACTTGGCAACAGAGTATTTGCTGCAAGGTACCAAGGGTGCAGCATACCACTGGTTTTGAACAGAACTCTGTGCAAAACTGTCACAGATCATTTTCTTTTAGTAGCATCCTGAGGACACAATGTTTTTCTTCAGCAGAAATTGGTGCTACAGTGCTAAGCACGTATGTTTATCCCTCACTCCCCTGTGCAGCCCTGTTGATCTTTGTCTTATTCTATCAACACCAGAAGAAACATGGAAATATGTGTGTTTCGAGGCCAAAACATAAAATGAAAGTGCCAACCATACAGTCTTTCCTCCCATTGACACTCCTCTGCAGGAAAGGTCCCAAAGTTGGTGAAGCAAAAGTGTACCCCTATGTGTACCCCATACTTTAAGCTCCTTTTGTGAAAACCTCTGGTGTTTTTTTTCATTGCAGGCACATTGTTAAACAGTGAAACTTTCTGCCACAAGATGGGAATATAGGTCAAATGCTTGGTTGGCTTTCAAAGGGGATTGAAGAGATATTAATGGAGGACAATTGATATCAGCTACGATGATTGTACATTACCTCCAGCATCAGAGAAGGTATGTCTCTTAGTGCCATCGTGTCAACAGAATATTGAACTAGATAGGCCAGATCCAAAAAGGGTCTTATATTTATAATTGTGTGAACTTAATCAGGATAGTGAAGTTGGGAGAGTCTTATTTTTCTTTCTTTCCAATGTTTCCTCTCATGCCATCCCCCCCCCCCCCCAACTACAACCCCTGTCTGTTTGCCTCCCAAAATTGAGGAAAAGATAACTGTTTGTCCTAGATTATATTGAGGTCTTGGTGCATGGGGTGTTGATTGGGAAAACAGCATGGGAGGAAAAAAGATAAAAGAAATAGTCCTCTGCCTCTATTAGCCCTTTCTATTTGCAGGTGTTAATGAGTTTCACCCAAGTCCAGCATGGTGTTGGATTTACAGTGCCAACATGCAAGGATGTTGGTAAGTCTGATGTCAATGAGGCAGACAATCCTGACAGTTCAAACTTTAACGGTATCCAAGCACATGCCCCTATTACTGTTGATATGATTCAGCACCTTGGACAGCTCAGAACAGATACAGTTGCCTAATTGACACCAGCATTTCCAGATGCTACAGAGAGATTTCTAGACTACAGGGAGGGTCAGGGTTTTCTGGTGAATAGGATGTAGAGGGAGTTATGGGAACAGGAGATAATTCCACTTTTTGGGTTATGCTGCTCCACCATTGGAGCCGTAGAGTGACATCCTGCTTTCTGTTGACAACAACACTGTAGCCTTATTTAGGTGTTCAGATGCTTATATGGTGAAGGGGATAGCAGGGAGGTGCCTGCTGGCTTCCCACTATCACGACACTGGGTTGTGCAGTGTTTGAAATCCCACAAAGCAGGCTCCCCAGTCCAGATCTTTTCCTCAAATGCAATGAAAAACTTTAAAATAATAATAATAATAATAATAATAATAATAATATAAAATAATAATATAAAATAATAAAATACATCACACAGTCCTAGATGCTTGGGAAATGTTCGACTTGTGATTTTGTGATACGAAACCCAGCATATAGATTTCATTTGCTGTGACATACTGTGTTTTTGTGTCAGTAAAATAATAATATAAAATAAATAAGAATAAAATACATAAAATAAAAATAAAAATAAATAAATGAAATTGAAAGGCTTTAAAATAAAAGGCTTTGAAAGGCCTTTGAAATGGGTCAGAACTTTGAGCACATCCTCTGCCCTGTATACTTCTAAGGACTGAATGGACCTCATGCCCCTGAGCCTGTGCAAGTAGCCTACTTAGAATACCTACATGATTATTGATGGCTGGGGTGAATGGTACAAAAAAGGCAGTCTACAGACTAAGGCTGGAATGGACAAAGGACAAACTGATCAGCTTCGATGTGGTGTCTCTATTTACCATGGTCCCAGTTGCAGACACCATGGCACTCATCAACCAGAGGTTCCCAGAAGACATCACGGCGCTGTTTCACCATTGCCTCACCACCAGCTATTTTCAGTGGGACAATGAATTCTATGAACAGAAAGATGGAGTAGCTATGGGGAGCCCTCTCAGCCCAGTCATAGCTAACTTCTACATGGAACACTTTGAAAAACAAGCTCTTGAAACAGCAACCAAAAAGCCCACTATATGGTTCAGATATGTGGATGACACTTTCACCATTTGGAGCCATGGAGAAGAAGAACTCAACAGGTTCCTGGAACATCTTAACAGCATCCCCCTAACATCCAGTTCACTATGGAAAAAGAAAAGGAAGGAAGACTGCCTTTTCTAGATGTCCTAGTCATCCGCAAACCAGATCAACAATTGGGTCACACCGTTTACAGAAAACCCACACACACAGATAGATATCTACATAAAAACTCCAACCATCACCCAAGTCAAAAAAGAAGCACCATTAAAGCCTTGGCAGACCGTGCAAAAAGAATCTGCGAACCCCACCTCCTCCAAGATGAACTGAACCACCTCAACTGGGCTCTCCAGGCTAATGGATACTCCACCTCAGACATCAGAAGAGCTGCAAGACCAAGAACAAGCCACGAGAGTAAAGATGAAGATCCACCCAGAGGAAAAGTGTTCCTGCCATACATTAAGGGAACCACTGATCGCATAGGGAAGCTGATGAGGAAACACAACATACAAACAATCTACAAACCCACCAGGAAAATCCAACAAATGCTACGTTCAGCAAAGGACAAGAGGGATCCTCTCACCTCTGCAGGAGTCTACCGTATACCATGCAGCTGTGGACAAGTCTACATAGGGACCACCAAACGCAGAGCCCAAACATGAATCAAGGAACATGAAAGGCACTGCAGACTACTTCAACCAGAGAAGTCAGCCATAGCAGAGCACCTGATGAACCAACCTGGACACAGCATTTATTTGAGAACACAAAAATGCTGGACCACTCTCACAACCACCATGTCAGACTACACAGAGAAGCCATTGAAATCCACAAGCATGTGGACAATTTCAACAGAAAGGAGAAACCATGAAAATGAACAAAATCTGGCTACCAGTATTAAAAAATTCTAAAATTAAAACAGCAGAGAGAAAAACAGACAGGGACATCTAATCACCTTTCAAGAAGAGTTTGCTCCAGGCACTGTCAGCCCATTGTATGCTAATCAAGGTGGTCAGTTGAAAAGATTCACACCTAGCCCAACTTACAAAAGCCTTTTGTCTCACCCTGGTCATTCCACAGATATATAAACCCCCTTTTTCCCAGCTCCAGCAGACCTCTGGGGAAGCTTGCCATAGATGCAGGCGAAACGTCAGGAGAAATGCCTCTAGAACATGGCCATATAGCCCGAAAAAACCCACAAGAACTAAGGCTGGAATGATCCAGAAATTAGAGGAATGGCAAAAAGCATCTCCCAGAAATGTTGGACAATTTGAGGTTTATTTAGGGCCATGGGGTGTGTTTGTGTTCAGGCCTGTCTGAAAAGGCCAAAAATGATCCTCAGAAGTTACTTCTAAAGTAAGCTGCTTTGAGTCTCCTTTTGGGAGAGATAAAGCAGAGTAATAATCATCATCATCATCATCATCATCATCATCATCATCAGCAGCAGCAGCACCAGCACCAGCAGCAGCATCAAATCCAGATGTAGGCCTTCAGTGATGATTTAGTCCAGTAGCACCAGTAAAGCTTAGGAGCTGTAGACCTTAATTAATTCACAGGATCTTAATAAGAGACCACCTGAAGCACCACTGCTAAACTGTCCAAAAGTGCAATGATAAGGTAAAGGTTAAGAATGAAGAATGGCAGTGGCAATGGCAAAATCAATGAAAACAATGCCTACCTTTGATAGCAAATACTCCATGACAGAAATCCTTGAAGCTGATCTTGCCTAAGTCATTTGGATCCAAGTATTTGGCAAATTTTTCCACCTTAGGGGAGAAAAAAAAGATAAAGCATTAGATAATGTGCTTCTTTGATTCCTGGGAGAGGAGAGGTTGAGGAGGGAACTGTTTTCCTCAGCATTAAACTTCAAAAGGAATAAGGAATTATCTGAGTTCTTTTTCATATAGTTCCAACAACCTAACATGTCCTAAGGAGGTTTCAACTTCTGTTTTGTTCCTACTGAAGAATAGAGATCCAAAGGGAGCAGAAATAGATATTCAGGTATTTTAACACTGCGAGCATTTATCTGAAATTAAACTATCCTTTGTCCACCATACCATGTTTTGGGTCTGAGAATTATTGCTTCAGATGTAAATGGCAAATTAAAATGGGTGCAAAGGAGCTGAGTTGTTGGCAACCTCTTGAAGGCTTCAGTGTTTATCGAAGAATAGGAGTCACAATGGTGTTTATAAGAGACAGAAAGTTTGGTTGTAGGAATAGGACACTGTGACACCAAGGTGTGAATCTCCACTCAGCCATAGAAACTCACCAGGCCGAATTAGACAAGTCACACTCTCTCGGCCTCAGAGGAATGCAAGGGAAAACTCTCTCTGAACAATTTTTTGACAAGAAAACCCTTTGATGGGTTTTGTTTCTCTTGGATTGCTATAAGTCAGAAGTGACTCAAAGACACACAACAACAGCAGTGGCAGCAGCAGCAGCAACAACAACACATGGTGTTTATATGCCATATATGCTACTACACAACGTATTATTATTCTTATTATTAACTTTATTTATACCCCGCTAACATCTCCCGAAGGACTCAGTGCAGCTTACAAGAGGCCAAGGCCAACACATCAATAAAACAACAGTATAACAAATACAACAATAAATAAACTCATAAAGCAAATCAATATCATTAAAATAATAGTAATAAACATTAGACAATAACACCACGACGCATTTAAAACTGAGGCTGGGCCAAATATAATGGATAAAATTTTAAAAAATGCTGGACATGACCGGTGAAATGGATAGGTTTTTTGGAGATAGGTGCAGTGTGCAGACTTAAATCTCTAGTAAAGTGCATTTGGGACATAATGCTAGGAGTTTCGTATTCAGGGAAGGCACACCGGAAACAGCCACGTCTTCAAGCTCTTCTTAAAGACTGCCAACGTTGGGGCTTGTCTGATGTCTTTGGGGAGAGAGTTCCAGAGTCGGGGGGCCACCACAGAAAAGGCCCTGTCCCTCGTTCCCACCAAACATGCTTGCGACGCAGGTGGGATCGTGAGATGATCGGAGAGATCATGTGGGTTTGTATACGGAGATGTGGTCATGCAGGTAGGCGGGTCCCAAACCGTTTAGGGCTTTGTAGGTAAGCACGTGCACTTTGAATTGGGACCAGAAGATGAACAGCAGCCAATGGAGCTCCTTAAACAGGAGGGTTGACCTCTCTTTGTAAGAAGCACCAGTTAACAACCTGGCTGCCGCCCGTTGGACTAGTTGGAATTTCCGGGCCGTTTTCAAGGGCAGCCCCACGTAGAGCGCATTACAGTAGTCTAATTTGGAGGTGACCAAGGCATGGACCACCATGGCCAGATCAGCCTGCATGAGGTACGGTTGCAGTTGGTGCACGAGTCTCAATTGTGCAAAAGCCCTCCCGGCCACCGTATGGTGTCTATATGCCATATAAGCAACTACACATGTAGCAGCTAACTGCATCAATTCTGTCCATTATACACACAATGGAAAGGAGCTGAACTGGCCAGTGTATTTGCAATGCAGATGTATGTTATGAAAGAGGCAGAAGCTTCAGCTTCAAAGTGATGTTGCACACTGCAGCCAAGCTCCCACATACCAGGTGAATATAAATATGTGTCAGCATATTAAGAGGGGCATTCAAAAGGATTGCTCCCTATGAATATATCAAAGAGCCAAAATCTTGTTATTACATTTCTGCTTGGGTGGGGACACTGCCCTATACTCATACCATGTCAAGATCCACATGTTTTAATTTGGAGAAACAGTACTCTCTCTGTGTGTGTGTGTGATGTTGCTGTTTGTGCATGTGTGTAAGATGAAGTGAATAACTAAGATGAGGGTAAGAGGAGAAGCAAACCAATTGCATTTCAGAGAGGAAGAAATGGGAGCATGAGCATTTCATTGCACAGCAGGCCAAAAAACCGAGTGGAAGACATCAGCAGCTGCTGAATCCTGACATGACCTAGATTCTCAATTTTCCCATTTCTTAAATGTGAGCAAAACCACAAGCCTAACAACTCAAATGATGAGGGTGGCTTAGCTTTGTGTGTTTCATTTTATTTGGTTTGAATTGGAAAGGATTTTGGCAATGTACTGAAAGTAGTAGTCCGTGAGCCAGTGCTAGCCCAGGAGCCTGTAGTCGCCCTGACGAATTTTCAGGAGAGAAAGAAAGAGAGGTGCCCATTGAGTACAAACATGGCATCAGCTGAGTGTCTCTTATCCAAAATGCTTGGGACCAGAAATGCTTTGGATTTTGGAGTTTTTGGATTTTGGAATACAGCAGGGTCTCACTTATCCAACATAAACAGGCTACTAGAATGGTCGATAAGCAAAAATGTTGGATAATAAGGAGGGACAGGGCCCACAGATTAAGAACCACTGCTTTAGATGCTTATACACAAACACAAGAGGAAATTGGGGGTGTTTCAGAAGGGGAAAAAAACCCATTTCAGAACCCAAAAGTGGAACTTGTTTCCAAAAGGTACCAAATGTAAAATGTAATTTTCCAAGCTCTGTACCAAAGTGATCTGATACATTTTGATAATTTTGATCTGTACATAATATTCTACCCCTAGACAACAATGTAACTCACTTTCCTTTCCTTTTCTTGGGGATGTGGTATCTTTTGGTTACAAACTCTACAAACATAATATTGCGCATATAAAGTTGAAGAATTCATTTATACAAGGATATTGATTACTCAGTCACAGATAGATTACATCAAGTGTTGATTCGCATCACAGAAAAATCACACTACAAATGCATGTTCATCACTGTAAAATAAGTGGGTTTTAACAGAAGTGGTTCTTTTGTTCAGGTAGAGATGGACACCTCTTCCTTCAGAATGTATTTTAAATTAACTGAATCATTTCCCTCTTTATACTGCCTGCAGTGTGTAAACGGCAGAGTTTATAAAAGTGCTTTTTTAGACCACAACTCACAGAATTTGGTAGCCAGAGTGACCATTACTGGGTCAGAGATTAAGGAAATTGTAGTGGTTTCAGTGTTAGGAAATGAATCTGGAAACCACAGTTCAATTCCCTGCTTAACCACGTAAACCCACTGAGTAACTTTGGGTGAGTTACATACTCTCAGACTCGGAAAATATCATGATAGGATTGCTATAAATGAGAAATAGCTTGAACACACACACATCAACAACAATAACAACAACCACAATGACAACCATTTATATAGTCACCTTCAGCAGGCCATTTCCTGCTGAGGTTCAGATCCCTTCCCTACCATAAAACCCTAAATAATATACCCTTCCTTCCAACCATCCATATTTTCCCTATGACACCCTCCTCCTCCTTTCCTCCTCCTCCTCCTCCTCCTCCTCCTCCAATATTAGCTAAATGGCAGTAAGGCCAGATAGGGAGACCTTATCTGCCCTTTCTACCCCCACTTTATGCCAGGAAGATAGACCAAGGGCCCTTCTAGACAGGCCCTATATCCCAAGATCTGATCCCAGGTTTTCTGTTTATCCCAGATTATCTGGCAGTGGGGACTCATATAATCCAGTTTAAATCAGAAAACCTGGGCTCAGATCCTGGGATATAGGGCCTGTCTGGAAGGGTCCCAAGTAGCCATGGGATATGACATCCTTCGAAGAGCTGCTTAACACATTTCTACCTTTCTAATGATGCTTTTGGGGGTAATCAGGTACTTGAGGAAATTGGGGAATGATAGTGGGAAAAGTGAAAATGAGGAATTCTTTATTGAGGGGGGTGGTGGCTCAGATTTTAGTACAAAACAGAGAAGTATTTGAAAAGCTTCATGCCTTGTGAGGTGGGATTTGAGCTCAGAAAAGCACTTCACATATACGGGGACCTTATTTCAGAAATGTGTGTGTGTGTTTTGGGGAGAGGGGTGCCATCAGGAGACAGTAGCAGGGTCCAATGGCTGATTAGGATGACATTTCCTTCAGTCAGTTCTTCTCCGGCTCTGCAGATCATTAATGTATGTAAAAGCTCAAGTTTGGGTATGTAAAGGTATATGCTGCAAGGTAAGCCTTTGGGAAGCTCCAAGAGTTTCCTCTGAGCTTCCCAAATGAAAAAAAAAATCCCTGTGGAGAAAAAGCAACAGCAACACAAAACAAATGAGTGGAAATGAAACCTCCTTTGTGTCCTAATTTTCCAGTCTTTAGGCTGCTTATATTTCTGACCTGTTGGCAACAATAGCAGTAACTCTCCAGTGTGATAGGAATAGCAGAAGTCTGAGTAAGGAAGCAGCAACATCTCCCCCCCCCCCCCCCAATTTATCTTCCTGGCTAGGCTACCTTTGATCTCTATGGAACATATCTCATTTTCATCCATTCCCACCTACAATTACACAGTTTTTACTTTATATCAGTGGGTGTATCTGCCCTTTTTGCATTTTGAGACCTACTAACCCAAGGAGTGACCATCACTCAAATAAATTGATTTTGTCATTTGGGAGTTGTAGTTGCTGGGATTTATAGTTCACCTACAATCAAAGAGCATTCTGAACTCACCAATGATGGAATTGAACCAAATACTTGGCACACAGAACTCCCATGACCAACAGAAAATACTGAAGGGTTTGGTGGGCATTGACCTTGAGTTTGGGAGTTGTAGTTCACCTACATCCAGAGAGCACTGTGGACTCAAACAATGATGGATCTGGACCAAACTTGGCATGAATTCTCAATATGCCCAAATATGAACACATAGAGTTTGGGGGGGGGGGGAATAGACCTTGACATTTGGGAGTTGTAGTTACTGGGATTTATAGTTCACCTACAATCAAAGAGCACTCT